TTTTTCCTTTTTCTCCCCAAAGCCCCCTGGTACATAGTTGTATATTCTTCGTTGTGGGTCCTTCCAGTTGTGGCATGTGGGATGCCACGTGGTTTGAGGAGCAGTGCCATGTCCGCGCCCAGGATTAGGAACCAACGAAACACTGGGCCGCCTGCAGTGGAACGCGAACTTAACCACTCAGCCACGGGGCCAGCCTCAAAAGAAGGATTTCTATTGAAGGCCATAATGAGATACTGGTTATTCTGAAAAGGCTAAATGCCAACTACTTTTCTGCTTTTACCAATCCAGCTTTATCACATTCTAAAAATGGGTACCCAGAATTTACTAACTTGTCTAGAGCTACAACCCACTAAATGTACTTGTCATATTTTTCTTAGCTGTGGACTAACTGAATTAAGCTTGCAACTATTACACAATATAGAGAAGAAGAAGAAAAACGCTTGGCTTGTAGCAGGTAAGGATGAGAGCAGCTTCATCTGTTTTACCAATTTGTCTCTACTACCCTCTAGTGGAATCATCGTCACAATATCCTTACAGCGTTTCCTCCAGATTAAAAATATACACACACGCGAGCATATAGAGATTTCTAAATTTCAGCTGTATAGAGTTAGTCCCAGCCTTAGATATTATGAACTCCTGGAGGGGATTACCTTTTAACTGTCATTCTGGCTTCTCTCTCTTCCCACACTAATCCTTTCTGTAAAGTACTCCCAGATTAATCTGTTTAAAAGGACAATGAGATCCCATCACATTTGAGCACTCCCCTGCTCAATCAGAGGAAAAAACCTTCAGTTGTTGCCATTGGGCTATTTGAAGTGCTGCTGGTAAACTTCCCACAGTGACTTCCAAAACTCTTCACCATCTGAATCCAACTCCCCTTTCCACTCTCCTCTCCCTTTACTGCCTACACGCACTCTCCCCTCCAGCCGAATCTCACTTGGACGTTCTCCAAACCTATACCATGTTTTTCCTTTTTCTGCCTAGAATGCCACCCCCCTAGTCATCTCCACCCCACCACCTTCCTTCTTCCATTTCTATTTACCAAAGTTGTGCTTGTATTTCAAGAATTATTTCAAATGCACCCTATGTTAGCTTTTGAAGCTCCCTTGGTCAATCCCTCACAAGGCAGGGACCTCTCTGACACCGTGCTGTCTGTCCCATATGTCTGTTCCCTTTGCCTGGATGTTCTACCCTGCTCCTCTCCTTCAATTCCTTTTTAAACTGACAACATCAGCTTTCTTTCCCAGCCCAAGGATCACATCATTAATGAAGCCTTATCGGCCTCCTCCAGAGTTTTTCCCCTCTCTTTTGTGACGCCATAGCAATTCATTTAAGTCTCTGTTCCAGTACTCACCATCAGAGGTATTTTTGTGAGAGATAGATAGTGATCAATATGATTAGGAAAAAGAAATCATATGTGTGAAGTGCTTCCAGCAGGCTAGGAATTGATCTAAGTAAATGTTACATGGATTGCCTCATTTTATGCTCAAAATGACACAACTGGGTACTATTATCATTATCATTTGAGTAAACGAAGCACAGAGAAATGAGGTGACTTGCCCAAAGCCACAGATAATTTAAGGGCAGGAGCCAGGATTTAAAAGGATTGAGGCCAGGCGATCTTTGGACCCAACCCTTTTATCTACCCTGATGGCACATTCCTTCCAGAAGGGCTCTTGGTCAGGACAGCACCGCTTGATGTCTTTCCTCCTCCTTTCATTTTGAGTCTGTGGTTTGGGATTTCATATTTGGAAAGAATCAAACATGATTCCTGGAGTAGGAAGAAGGTTTTGTTTTGTCTTGTTGAATGAAAAGGTCTGCTTTCCTCTTTGAAATTTTTTTCTTTTTATATGTTTCCCCACCTGGACTCTGAAGTTTTGGAGGACAGGCTTGCATTCAGATTCTTGTTTGTATGCCCATTATTTAAGCTAGTGCTTGGGACATAATAAGAGCTTCATAAAGTTATCAAATATTGTTGAAATAGCAGCTATCTTTCCCTTTTTGTCTTATCTGGATGTGACATCACTTTACTTTGTATTCCCATAGTTCTTGATTCAAAACACCAGCTGATGGAAGGTATTTAATTAATTAGCATAAAAGACGTATAATCATTTGTTGTATTTTTCTTATCTCTGCCCCGCCCCCGACTCCTAAGCTTAAAGAGGACAGATAGTCTAATTCATCTTTGAATCTTTAGTAGCCCCCAAATAATGCCAGGCAAATAGAAGATGCTCAAATATTTGGTGAGTGGAACCGACAGAGTGTAATTTTCTGTGGTACTTCAGTTTCATATCACTGGTATAAAATGATGCACAGCCAAGGGCCAGATAACTGATGTTCACAAGGAGGCCCTCAGGCGGTACAAGACTCCGAAGTGCCTGTCTCATTTTTGAGGAAACAGTAAATAATGTTCTGTATCATTTTAGCCGTAAGAAGATGTTATTGTAGCTTAGCTCTCTGAAATTTGTCAATTACAGTAAACACTTAAAATAAAGCAGAATATTTCATAACATGAAACCCCAGGCCTGTATCATTCCAGAGAACAGTTTATTGAGTTAAATTAGAACTTTATCTGTTTAACACCATTAGAAAATGAACTTTTATTCCTTAACTTACTGATTAGAGATCTGTTCATAATTCATTGCTCTCCTTCACTGGGCTGACTTTACAAAGATAAAGGTTTGAGGAATTACTTCTCAATATATATTTTGAGTTCTGGCAGAATAGCCTAACTTAGGCATATGCAGTATTGTGATAAAATTTAAGAGGCAACAGGAATCCATAAAAAATATCTCAGAGATGCAACTAAAACAACAGCCTTGATCATTTCTCCCGGCTCCAAATATGTATAAAATTGCCTGCAATTTCAGAGTTAGATTCACCATGAATCTAATGAAGCTTAAGTGTCTGAGTTCTGCCTTTGCACAGGACCCTTCCAGGGCTCTGAGAGGGGAGTTCACAGGGTCATGTTTTCGTAAAATAGATAAAGTAAGATATTTTAACCCCAGTTTGTTAAGGCTGCTGTTTCTTTCGACTTCAGCTCCCCATCTGCCACACTTCCCCGCCTGTCCAGTGGCATTGGCAGGACCATAACCATTGTTGGGATTCAGCTCAGGAGAAGTTAAGGTGAGGGTACATTTAGTTCAGGATTAGTGGTATCTAGTTATTTATCCACAGCATTTCCAAGTTATTGCGAGCTGTCCTAATATAGGAATAGCTTTTGAGAATACTCCCTCTACACATTCTGCCGACTCTCCTGCTTCTGGAAATAAACGGGTTAGAGATCTTATCTGAAATGGAAATAAGTGGGTAGTGGGTAATAGAGGAGAGGCTAATCTCTGGAAAATTCTTTCAATTATCAGATGCACAAAATTATGTCATTACCTCATCTAAACTGAACTTCTGTTGTGTCAGGAATACACTTGTTACACCATGAACAACTATAAATTCATCAGACAATTTTTGGAATGTGGAATATCTAGAATCATGTAAATTAAAATTTTCCATAATTCCTGTGTTCGTAGGGCATAAATTTAGAACACTAGTATAAACAGCTCAGATGTGAAAGAAACTTGATAAATCTTTTCTCAAATGTGACAGAAATCCTGTTATATATGACATAATAAAAAGTGCGGTAAGAAGTCACAAAAACTTTTCTGAAATGATCCATCATAAAAAGCCAATTTGGATCAAATTAAAAGAAGTTAAAGGAAAGACAATTATCTTTTTTCTCTTGATAGAAAATATTACAAAATTATGTCATATTAAGAGATAAAGAGCTCATCAGCTGGGTGGACAAATATAGATTCCAAAAATTGTAGCCCCCAACAAATTTAGGACAAAAGACATTATAAAGATGTGTCAGGCAATTAATAAAAGTATAATTTTTTAAGGATTTTGTGATTTTTATGGTATTTTTAAATCGAAAAATCTAGCATCACAGCTGTGGAAGCTTGTGGTCTTCTTTATGTTGAATGTAAAGTGGATATAATGAATATGAGCTGTTTTTAGATGATATAAATTGAATTCCTTGCTTAGGTCTCCAAGATATATGTATATACATATAACCCTTCATTAAAATCAGTACCGTGAATTAGCACAGAATAGTCTTCTCTTGAGCACTTCTCTGGGGTAGTCCGTTTTCATTTAAAATGTGAATTTGGCATTTTAAAAGAAAGTTCTAAAAGTTATTAGATTTAGTGGGAGATTTTGCAACCTCCTATCTCCACTACCAATCCCAAATGCTCTGCTTCTATTCCCTAGGAACAGAAAATTGTCAAGGCTGAATGTTTGTGCCACATATAGGGCCAGATGACAGATGCTGCTTACTGTGTAAAAAGGTATTAAATACTTAAATGCTTGTCATATACCAGTTCCATTCCTTATCCTAGTCTGAGTCTTCTGATACATACTTGTAGAGGTCATGGCAATCAATCTTTGTTCTACGTCCCATTAAGGACCAGTGCAAAGAGAAATCCTTCCTAGGGGACTCTTGTTATCCCCAGCTCTATTTTACTCTATTATTTTCTTAAAGGATTAAAATGACGTTCAAGTGCAGGAACGTGTTTTAAAATTTAAAATTTTGTTTTTAATTTTTAAATAAATAAAATTTTAAATAAAAAATTTAAAAGGTGAGGCAAAAATAAAGCATGGAGATATATATATCTATATATATATAGATATATATAGCTTTAAGTATTAAAAGTGAAAGTAATGGAATATGGTTATAAGTGTAGTATCACTTTGTGATGAACTATTTAAGCACAAGAAATTTCAATTGCGCCCATAATAGGAAGGAAAAAAAACCAACCTAGAGCGGACAGTAGATTCCTGATGACTAGAAACAGTAGGACGACACTCTCCTAGAATCAAAAGACTGCGCTTGCGCTCAGACTCAGTGGGCGCCCGCCCTCCTGCTTTTTCTGCAGCCGCGGTTTCCCGGTTCTTTCGCGCTCCAGCCAGCCGGGAAGCCCCGCCCAAGCGGGGCTGGGCTCTCATTGGCTCCTTTGAAAGTCCACGGGCTGCCTGACTGGTGGATTCGGGCCCCTTTAGCGCGCTGAGTTTGAAACTGCTCGTCCTTCGCTTGAAAGCTGGCTCTGGGAAGCTCCGGCTGGAGCGACGCTGCCGTGGTAGCCGCCGCGGGATAATAAGCCGGTAGAGTTGCTGGTGTCGAGGTCATGACTAAGGAGCGTCCACTCGGCAGGGGCTGGCTCGGAGGGGGGGTCTTGAGGAAGCCGGGGATATTTAGGAGGCGGCAGGGGTCTGCGTGGGGCCAGGCCGGGCCGGGCCTGCACCCGGGGCCCAGGGAGGGTCTGGGCGGATGAGCGACGCCGGGGCCTGGCTCTAGAAGGAGGCATGGGAGCCAGACCTGCCGGCTTACTCCGGGGAGGGCTGGGGCTGCCCTGGTCTCGGAGCTGCAGTCTGGGGTCGCGGTGGGTGTTCTCAGGAAGAGGCTGCCGTCCTGGCCGAGGAGGCGTTCGGGTCATGCGTGAAGCGGAGTCCGACCTTTGGTTCTAGGACGCTGAGCGCCTGCGCGGTGCCACGCTCTGTCCTGGGCTCTGCGGCTCCCGCCCGCCCCGTGTGCGCTCTGCCCTCGCCCCCGGGGGTGGGAAGCAAGGGCGCACCGGGGCCAGGCACCTACGCCTGTCCCGAACCCGGCCCGTCCCGGAAAACCGATCCCAAGAACTAAGTCGTGGACCTCTGCGGGCTTGCCTCTGCGCCCACGGCCCTCGCCCGCTCAGAGCCTTTAAGAACGCTTAGCCAAGGCTAGAGCCAGGGGGAACTTAGGAGTTTTTCCATTTTAGTTTATGCTTGGTGGTTTGGCAAACGGTGGAAAGCTAAGAGACACCGAGTGATAGATGCATATGTATGTGTTAATATCCTTTAATCAATTGTTATTTAATACTAAAGTTACTAACGTGCACGTTTTGCTTCCTCTCAAGACCTGGAGGTCTCTGGGGGCAGGAGATTAAGCCGTTGGTATTTTATATCCTGAAGCTAGTAGTACAGAACCCTAGGAGGCATTCCAAAGGCATTCTGCAGCTGCATCCTTTATTTAAAATTGTTACGACAGAAAAATGGAGGGAGGGTAATTGAACTCCTCTTTGAAATTGACTAAGCTTTTAGCTCTTTGTTCAAAATGAGGTCAACATTTTATTGTGCTTTAGGCGTATTAAATCTGGATATTGAAGTAGAGATAATTATCCCAATCGTCACTGCCATTTTGTAAAATTTAAAAATTTTAAGATTGGCACTTATGGCCAATGTAGTGCAATTTTGTTCATTTAAGAAGATTTATCTACTTATTTCTGGAATGATTTTGAAGATGAATGTGAGAGATAGAACTTAAGGGTTCATTACTCAGAGTGACCTTTATATATGATCTTACCAGTGACGGGTGAGTTACGAAATCAAGGTAATTATGCTCTGGGCTTCTGAAGTTAATGTTTCAGTGGCAAACATCCGGCTGAGGAAGTCTTGAGTGTCTGGTCAGCATTTCAGCTCTTTTTTCCATTCTTTTTGATTCAAGTATATGGCTTTTTACCTTATTCTTGACATTGTGTAGGGTATAATTGGAATTTTATCTGTAGAATTGCACCTTTTCTTTTAGGGTGCTTAGTGATATATCCTGCTTTTGCAAAAAGTACCTTGATAATCTTGATCATGTTAGTGTATGCGACTGCTAAAAACAGGAGAAAGATTAAAACTGTCACTTGAGCAGGTTTAAACACAGGCTTGCTGCTTTAAACAATCTTTCTAATGGATGTGTTATGTGACCACATTTTAGCTCATGTCTCAAAAAATTTTCTTTGAATTATCTTCATAAACATATCATAAAGCATTACAAATTCAGTCAAATAACATGTTTGTTGAAATAGTTGGGTATAACTCTGGCACACACTGGTGCTCCTTAGAAGTGTTACATAAAGAGAACATACTTCTGGGTTTTGTTCGGAAGAGTAGATAAGTTGACCTCTGAATCTGAGGATTAATTTGATTGGAAGAAGCTAAATATTTACATTGGTGAATATACAGATATTTCCAATGTTTTAAGAGCTAAGAAAGCTGAGAAAGTCTTACTGCAGGAGTCCTTTCCCTTGTAAATAATGTTTTAATATAGTAACTAATATTTAGGGAAATTAATACTGCCCTCGGTACTGTGGAAATGCTTTCCATATAGTATCTCATTAATAACTTATACCTACCCTTTGAGTTAGTGACATGTGGTCAAATCAGTTTTTCCTCTCATTTTAGGATCTGTCATACCTATTGATCAAATTACTATGGAAGATTATATCAAAATAGAGAAAATTGGAGAAGGTGAGTGATTGTAGTAATATAAAAGTTTTAAAGAATGACTTGATGCTATAATGTCTGTGACATGAAAACATGTATTTATTAAAATCCAACCTTTAAGTTATCTTACAGTACTAATGTGCATTTGTATATATGTTCTTACATAATAAACACAAAAATGTTCACATTTCAAGAGAGTTGAAATTGTTCTGATATGACTCCCTGACAACTTCCCCCCCAATAATCTTACATTCTTCTAATACTAAATACTCAAAACATTGTTTGTACTTTGAAAACGCTATTGATCTCTTGTGTATGTGCTGTCGGGGAGAGGTTGGGTGGTAGAATTATGTTAAGTTTCATAATATACTTTTAGTCGCCTACAATTATTTTAAGATGATAAATACTTTTACCTAAACTTTCTAAATTGGTTACAATGACTATTAAACTAATTTAAATAAATTTTTTATTTAGTTACCAGCGTTTAAATGACCTGTCTTGTGTACAAGTTTAAGCTATTCTAAAACCAATAACTCTTGTATATAATCATTCATTCCCTTTCTGTAGTACTTTAAGTTTTTAAAGAATGTTTATATGGCATAAATGAAGGGTAAAAATATCCCTTTGCCTGTTTTTTTTTTTTCCAACAGAATATCTAAGTTTCTATATAGAAGTCTTGATATTAACATTCTAAATTCTCCAGGAACAAATGATACAACTTATACAGAATAATTTGCTGTTAGAGGCCAAGTGTACTCCAAAAACCCTACTTAACAAGAAATACTACTAAAAAGCTAGGGGAGGAATTCTGGAAGGAATTTAGTAACATAGTAATGACAAGTTTGGCTGGTGGTTGGGTGGGGATATATTCTTTTTTTTAACTTACAAATATTTCATTTTTTGAAAAATAAATTTATTACACCCAGTCAACTAACCTAATTTTGCTACTAATTTAAAAATACATTTGATTTGCATGTCTAATGTCTTCTGCTTTGAAGTTTTTCTTAAATGCTCAGAGAATTTAATGTATTGATTTGAGTTTGGAACGAGAAGAGGCATTCTTAAAGTGTAAATGTATTTTTCTTTAAAACGCTGGAACTCCAAATGTATACAGGAGGCTACAGATTGGACTTTTGAGAAAAGTACTTTAATTGCTACTATAAATTTGTTAGTGTCATCAAATCGATTCTGACTCCTAGTAACCCTGTGTACAACGAGCGGAACCCTGCCCGCCTTTATGCGCCATCTTCTCACCTTATGGTGCTACATTAGACACTGCTCTGCTGCTATTTATAGGGTCTTCCTGGTCACTTTTTTCAGAAGTAGGTGGCCAGGTCCTTCTTCCTAGTCTGGTCTTGGTTTGGAAGCTCTGCTGAACCCTCTCCACCATGGTTGACCCTACTGGTATTTGAAATACTGGTGGCATAGCTTTCAGCAACACGCAGCCACCACAGTATGACAATCCACAGACAGTGGTATGGTTCCCTGACTTCAAAACGAACCCCGGCTGTCTCGGTGACAGTGCAGAATCTTGGCCACTAGGACTGGCTGCTACTGCAAATGGAAGCAGTTGAAAGTATAATTTCAAATGTAGTGTATTACATACATAGAGTGGAGTGAGATGATCCCCATTCTTCTCTGTTTCTACCAATGGGACAGCCATAAATCTTTGAACTTCCCTGGATCTCAGTTTCTGTTTCTGTAAATGGGCATAATTGTCCATACTAAAAGGTTTTATTATACAATGAGATAATGTATGGAAAGCGTTTCTTTGAGTGCTTTAACTCAGAAAACCATCAAATGTTAACTATGTGTTGTTAGTACTATGACCACTGTTTCCACGACTATCAACATTGTAGCCCCCTTGCGAGCCTCATCGAATTCCACTGGACTCTCTAATTTGGATTTCTTTGATGTCCTCGCGTATGCCCTGTTCTTTGACCTCTGGGTCTTTGGCAGTGGCTGTTCTCTCACCCTGGAAGCCACCCTCTATTGGCTCCACTTCTCATCTCCTTGCTGTAGTCCAAGGGCATTTTGTAGTTCCCTTTTCATTATCCTTGATATCCTTTTTCTTTGCTGCATTGTAAGCTCCATGAAGGTTGGGATTTTGTCTTGTTCACAACTGTGTGACCAGTGCTTGGCAATAATGTCCAGCACATAAAAGATACTCAAATTTTTAATGACAGCATTATCTGTTTTATGTGTGTTTTTATGAAATCTGTTGTTTCTTCTTTTTCTGCCTTGTGTTGTCTATTCTGGTGCCTTGCTGTTTTGGATTATGTGCTGGACATTGTTTTTGAAAAAAATAACTTGTAGAAATAATTTAAGGCCTAGAGGATATCTTCTACACACTATTTTCTTTAGCTTCTGCCAGGTACCTGGTCACATTCTAACATTAAAATACTGATTTTAAAAGTTATAGATATTCCCTCAACTTTATTTATTTCTTTATTTATTTTCCCTTTTTCTCCCCAAAGCCCCCCAGTACATAGTTGTATATATTTTAGTTGTGGGTCCTTCTAGTTGTGGTACTTGGGATGCTGCTTCAGCAGGGCCTGATGAGCAGTGCCATGTCTGCGCCCAGGATTCGAACTGCTGAAACCCTGGGCCGCTGAAGTGGAGCACGTGAACTTAACCACTCGGCCACGGGGCCAGCCCCTCCCTCAACTTTCATTTTGAACATTTCCAAAGCTTCAAAGAAGTTGAAAGATTTATACAATGAATTTGTAATACCTTTACTGAGATGTTAGTGTTTTGTTACACTCACTTTATTATCTGAGTGTGTGTGTGTGTATTAGCATTTTGTTTTTCTTTTCGCCCATTTAAAGTAAGTCGTGGAGATGTGCTTCTGAATACTTCAGTCTATACTGTCTTCTGAAGATCTAGCCAAGGTCATGCATTTCATTCGATGGTTAATTTCTCCTTAATCCCTTCTAGTTTAGAATAGTCCCCTTGACATTGACTTTTTGGACAGCCGAATTCATTTCTTAAATACATCCAGACTTTTCTTATTTCAGTTATTACAGAATTGTTCTCTGCTTTCTTCTGAATTACAAAAATCTGAGTGTTGTCACATTAGTGTTTGAATTCCTTCTTATTTTAAGAAAATGTCTTTGGACCATAGAGAGTAGCTATATCCATGATGTGGAACTTGACTTGGCATTTAGTAGGCATTCTATAAACATTTGTTGATTAAAGGTTTTCTGCTTACCATTTAGTTTCTGTAACCTGACCATATCTAACATTTTCATTTTATAATGTTTAGTCCATTTCAGAGCAAATACTATGTGTCTCATAAAGAATTTTTGAGGCTTAACCAGTGGAATCGTTGTGCTTTGTTTAACTAGAGCTCTGTCCCAGGAGTTCAATCAGAAATGATAATGGTTCAAAAAGAGTCAGAGAGGAGAGCCATAGAGCACTTGTAATGTCTAAAATTCAGTTCAATAAATATTGAGTGTTGGCTAAGTGTTAATCAATTGTTTGAGCAAATTTTAGGACCAGATGAGTTTGCACACTTGGAGAGGTAAGATACCAGAAAAAAAAAAATTAGCTCTGAATGAGGCTGCCCTGTGGCCCAATGATTAAAGTTTCACGCGCTCTGTATCAGCAGCCTGGGTTTGCTGGTTCACATCCTGGGCATGGAGCTACTTGGCTCATCAGCCATGCTGTGGAGGCATCCCACATACAAAGTAGAGGAAGATTGGCAGAGATGTTAGCTCAGGGTGAATCTTCCTCACACACACACAAATTCTAAATTTACTATTAACTGCTTATTTGATTATATCATGCAAATATCTAATCTTCCTGAGTCTGCTTTAATCGTGTGCCAGATGACTGTGCTACTGACTTACCTATTTTGTGTTTAACGCAAGTATAGTTTACATCTGAAAAGTGTACAGATTTTAGGTGTACAGAAGATTACCTACTTTTAAGGATGGTTGTGAAGATTAAATAAAATCAGTTCTCCTTTAATCTGGAATAATTTTGGTTATCCAAAAGTCACAGCCAATCCAAATTTAATCAATATAAAGTGGATTTTATGTCAAATTATGTCTTTAAAATGACACTAGTGTTTAGGAAGACATAGACGGTTTTATAGAATTTCTCTTTAAAAAAAATTAGAACAAAGTTTATATAACATCAGTTTGCCACTAACCAAACCGTCCTTAATCTAATTAAGCCAGTAGATGATCTGTTACTGGTTCTTAGCCTTTTTTTTTTGAAGTATTGCTACCTTTAGAGAAACTGATAAAATCTATGAAACTTCTCTCTAGAAAAATGCACTCTCATCACTTTTGAAGTCATACTGGTGTCATAGAAAGATATCAAAGCTATTCAGCAAAATTTTACGTTTGGTTAAGGAGTTCAAGACCTCCCCAAATTGTCTAATCCCAGTTTAAAAAGCATTTATCTAGGGGATTAAGTGTATCATGTATATGAACTTGTTTTAGCTAACTAGGCCATCTCCCTTACTATTGTCATTTCCATTCCCTGTATCCACCCCTGCAAGATCTCCTATATTGACCCTGTTGCTTGTTCTCTGAAGCCTGTATCTCAGAATCAGTGTTCTCATCAATTTCTGAATAGGTGTGAGGCTTTCCTACTATAGAGTAGATAATGTGAACTTTAATAGATTTCATTTTTTTGCTGAGGAAGATTTGCCCTGAGTTAACATCTGTTGCCTAATCTTCCGCTACTTTGTATGTGAGCCGCCACCACAGCATGGGCACTGATGAGCGGTGTAGGTCCACACCCTGGAACTGAACCCTGGCCGCCAAAGTGGAGCATGCCGAACTTAACCACTAGGCCACTGGTGCTGGCCCAGAACTTTAATAGATTTAATATATGTCTAATAAAATATTTTATCTCCATTTTCTGGATGAGGATTGTTGACTATGTATTTGAAATGCCATAAAACATTCTTATAAAAAATTTTCTGAAGGTGTCACAGTGACACCTTTTAGTAATGTTTCCTGAGCCCAAATCTTTTCACTGTATTTTATGCCTGCCTTATTATTGGGTAGGATATTTGAGAGGAGATAAATTCCAATTTGCAAAGGATCCATTGTCTTTAAAAAATGTGCTGGGAAATTACTGGTAATTTAAGTGTTGGGGAAACCTGTGATGACTACATAAATTTTATTTCTAAACTACAGACTCAATAGGTTGTAGCTACGCTCAATGTCTTTGTGGAAGTGATGATGTAGTAAATACAAGTGAGATACTTCCTATCTGGCCACAGCAGACGTTTCTATCATGTGAGACTTTATGGGATTCAGTCATTTTTTTAAGTCTTGTTTTAGTTTGTGGAGGGTGTCACATGGCAGACATTTACTTTGTCTATTTCAGGAACCTATGGAGTTGTGTATAAGGGTAGACACAAAACTACAGGTCAAGTGGTAGCCATGAAGAAAATCAGACTAGAAAGTGAAGAGGAAGGGGTTCCTAGTACTGCAATTCGGGAAATTTCTTTATTAAAAGAACTGCGTCATCCAAATATAGTCAGGTATGACCATTTTTCCTCATACTATTTCACATGTAAATTTCAATGTGGAAATTTTTACATTTGGTTAATTTCTGGTCTAACTTTCCTGAGCCGAATACAGTTCTACTGTTTTTGTTAATTGATAATGCTGGGCATAGGAAAAGTAGGCTGTTAAAGCAGGAACAGGTAGAGGATCTTGGTGATTATGATTAGGGGCTGGAAAATCAAGGCAAACTGGCCAAGGGAGAAAAGGAGGACCTTTTCACAGAGCTTTGTCACCTCCGACTCTGGGAGCTCTGGTCCTTAAAGACTCCTTAATCAGTCCTAAGACAGGTAGCTAGGGTAGATGAAAAAGTCTTGTCTTTCTTTTTAAGTGTTTGGACTGATGTTTTGGGGGGTTATTTTCCTAACATTTCAAGTTAGGATTTAATTGTATTTTTCTGAGGCTGGAGATAGCAACTGTTAAGATCAGATACTACTTTAAAATTTATTTCTATAATTTACCTCCATGGCAAGACAAGATCTGTGCAACAAGCAGTCAATCTAGAAATGCTCTTTTGGAATACAAGTGGTTTGACAGTTAGCACCTTCTGTATAATATGACTTAATTTTCATTTGCTGCCCTGAGATTCCTTTCTCAAATTCTAGTTTAGTACTAGGATTTTCACTACTAGGGAAGCTATCATCTGTTTTTTCCCAAAACAGTATGTATTTGTTATCAGAAAATTTCTTACAGCCCCACTGTGATAGCCACTGTGAAATTTATGGGAGTAGTTTTATTTGTGAGAGGTCAAAAGCGTTTGTTAGAATTTTCTTTTTCATATAATTCTTTTATTCTTCAGTCTTCAAGATGTGCTTATGCAGGATTCCAGGTTATATCTCATCTTTGAGTTCCTTTCCATGGATCTCAAGAAATACCTGGATTCTATTCCTCCTGGGCAGTTCATGGATTCTTCACTTGTTAAGGTAAGACACTTACGTAACTTTATTAGTATTTATCCACTGTGAATGTAAAGGGTCTACTCTATAGAAGTCCCTATCTTTTCTGGGAATATGCTTGGAAAAAGTATTAGAAAGTAGAATGAGGAAGAAAAGAATGTTTCATTTTCCTCTCACATAGTCTATCGATGAGATTGTTAACAGTTACCCATTTTATGGCTAGATAACACTTCTAGTTGTAAAGTGAAGAGTTGTGCCTGAGATAACGTGAAAGTAGTTAGTATGCATTAATATTGTTGGAAAGTAGGGTATTCTGGTCTTTATTGGCAGGCAGATGTGTGAAACAGTAACGAAAGCCTGGGGCAGGGTGGTAGTAGCAAGTGGTTTTATTTTATTCTGGTTTTGAATCTATTTTAGTTAATTTATTGTAGGCGTTTGTTATACCTCAGTTAAATTATAAATGTATAATTTTTTAAAAAGTGCTGAAGTATATAAAGTAAAAGTGTCTTATCCTTACACCAACTCTACCAAACCACTCCTCAGAGGTAGCTGTTGTTAGTTTCATTAGTAATCTTAGAGATGCTTATACTTATATGTTAATGTTGTATGTGTATACACATAGACTGCTTTACAAAAATGGGATTATTTATGTACATAATATGACATATATAATATATATGTGTGTTATTTTTCCCTTTTTTGGGTAAAACATTATTTGACATATGGGTCTGCTTGTCTCTAAATTTTTTTCTTCTTTTTTGCTGTGAGGAATGAGGAAGATTGTCCCTGACCTAACATCTGTGCCAGTCTTCCTCTGTTTTGTATGTGGGTTGCTGCCACAGCATGGCTGTGGACAAGTGTAGGTCTGCACCTGGGAACCAAACCCAGGCCGCCAAGGCAGAGTGCACCAAACTTAACCATTAGGCCACAGGGCCAGCCCCTCTAAATTTTTGATGTAATTGTTTAAACCAGTTTCATACTGATGGACATTGAAGTTGTTTTTCAGCTTGCTGATTCATGCTCTTATGAACAATGCTGCAGTGACTATCCTTATATGTATTTATCTTCATATGCAACTTTATAGGATAAGTTTTTATTTCATTTCATTTCAATTTATTTATTTTATTGTGGTAACGTTGGTTTATAACATTGAAATTTTGGGTATACATCATTATATTTAGATTTCTGTATGGATTACATTATGTTCACCACCCAAAGACTACCATCCATCACCACACATGTGAGCCTAATCACCCCTTTCACCCTCCTCCCTTCTCCCTTCCCCTCTGGTAACCACTAATCCAATCTCTGTCTCGATGTGTTTGTTGTTTTTATCTCCCATTTGTGAGTGAGATCATATGGTATTTGACTTTCTCCCTAAACTTATTTTGCTTAGCATAATACCCTCAAGGTCCCTTATAGGATAAATTCTTACAGCTGGAATTGATAGGTTAAAGATGTTGATTTATGTTTACAATATTGATAGATAGTGCCAGTTGCGCTCTGAAAAATTGTAGCAATTTACTCTTAAACATTGTGGTATGCAGCAGTTAATTTTAGTACATCACTGCCAAAACTTGGTTTTATCAGTCCTTAATATTAACATAATTTAATATAATAATGATTTAATTAACATAATTTAACATGGAGGTGGAAAAGACGCATTATTATCATTTTGCATTTTATTGAACATGTTTTCATTTTTAGCCATTTCTAAACAGCCTAAACATATTCTTCACTGATATTTCTGTTAGAATGTTGTCTTTTTTCCCACTGATTTCTAATATTCTCTTACTGGTAACTTATTGATAATATTCATTATTCTTTCTCTTTTGACTTGTTGATGGTGTATACCATGAATGATTTTTATAATGTATTTAACAATCTTGTATATGACTTTTACACTTTTAGCTTTTATGTCTTATTTGTGTCTTCTTATGTCTTCAAAGATCATATATATATATTAGAACAACACACGACAATATTTTTCTAGTAGTTTACTGTCCGCTGGCGCCCC